AATGTGGAAAAAATGGAGGAGACATCATGTATGGCACGTCAATCGTCGGAGGTACGTAGTTACCATGGATTTGTTCTCCATCAAGAATCGGTGGCAGTTCAATAATAGGGCTATGCAGCATCAGTTGATCTGTTGATGTTTTCAACATTGTGAGGCTTGTTATTTTATTTTGTTTTTTGATGTTTCATCATATATTGAGAGCTATGTATAGTAATGTAACAATCTTATGTAGGTTGTGTGCATCTCATGATACAGAGGTTGGTTACGGTTTTGATTGTCTAAGAAAAAGCTAATGAGTGAAAGAAAACAAAGGAAAGAGCTGAAGTAATGTTAAGGTTAGTATCCATCAGCTCTGAACATAGAGGGAGGAAGAGAGGCGACGACATGCCGCGCCCACATATGGGTGGGAATGCAACAAATGAGTGGGTGATGAGAAATGGTGGGTGGCACATGGCGACTGTCTTGACAAGTTAGTGCGGTAGATTGGCCATTTATAGGCGAGGGTTTTACCCTCAAGGGAATATACCACATCGCCCATTAGATGTGCATCGAGATTTCTACACTACAAAAAGAGAGAAATGATTTAATGTTTTTTTCTTACGGCACAAGAATCTCAATGCAAATCCAATGGTTACATGCATAAGGGTTTAAGCCTTGAAGGGAAAATTTCTATTAGCCACAATCGTTGATGGTGGAAGGGGCGTCAATGGCAACATGTGGGTGCAATACGCCTAAAGACAAAGTACCACTAGTTGAAGGCATGCCTAATAGGTTGATGAAGAGAGGTGGCAATCACGGGTATCGGGTCATGAAACACAACAGGCTGGGGTTGGTGAAGGAGTGCTAGCTATTGTATGAACATCCATCCCATGCATATTGCCCCATAACTTGACTCGACATCCAATTGTATTATGTAGCTCCTATATATGTATTTTCCAATAATCAAACACATGAGTGGACGATGTGTACATGTGTGTGGCATGCACATTTGAAGATGTTTCTTTCATAAATAAGACGTGGCTTAAACAACTTGCTGATAGCCTGATACAAGGGCCTACAAAATCTCTTTTGATCATGTAATGCACACTGCGCATGTTCATATATGTGTATATTTCAGTGAGGACCATATGTGCGTATCTATGAGTGGGAGCTCATTTTCTATATTGTTACTGCTGCTGAAGATACATGACACATGTAACGCACTAGAACAACTCACGGTACGGTACTACCTTACAATGAAAGGAGTTTTTTTTTTAATTGCCATGTATGTTCCTGTGTGGATGTGGAGACTGAAATAGTGCGTACTGTTGGAATAACCAGGAAATAGAAAAATAAATTTAACTAAACCAGGACATCCATTAAGCCAATGTCAGTGTTTCAACGTTCTCTTTCTTGGATAGTTGCTAGATATAGATAAAGCATGGATCATCTTTTTTTATTAATATCAGCTCAGTACATGTGTGAAGATTAATTGGTTACCCCACCTATGCAATTCTTTTGATTTAGTGGTAATAATAATAACCCATCACTTTTATTTATGTTGTTTCTATATTTCTCGGTATGATATATATATATATATATATATATATATATATATATATATATATATATATATATATATATATACACACATGCACATAACCATATTAAATTAACACTTAAGAGAGACACTTTTTTTGAGGGGTTTAAGAGTGACACTATACTATACCATATATAGATTTGAATTACCATATTAACATATAATTAACCGCACGCACGAGGGTGAGCTCGAATGTCTCATAAAAATCAGGCTTAGCTTAACATACGAAGGGGGGCAACATGTTGAGAGTTCTATTTTATTTTCATTTTCCTATTTGTTTGTTAACATTTGTTCTAATGATTTGGCGAAATCCCACGATTCTATAGCTAGCAACAGTGTTATCAAAATAATGTATATCAAGTGTTATCAAAATAAACTGCATAAGTGTCGTTTATGTCGATTCTTTCCTTAAGCTAGTTCAAGGAAAATTTCATTTGGTGTATGTTCCTTTCTACATGTTCATTTTGTACCGAGACTGCATCATGTATAAGTGTGGACCCTTTGTTCAAGTTTCCCTAGTATTTTTAACAAAACTTTGACATGAAATCAAACTGTAAAACATGTATCAACATAGCATTATAGTGTTGTAGATGACAAATACACTCCAAATGAGTTTGAACTGATGATCAGCAAGAGAGCATATGTTTGGTTTTATATCAAAACTGGAAGGGGGAAGTATTAAAAACTTAGCTTATATATAAAGAAACATATAAACACTAGATAACTCATGTGGGTGTCAAGGTTGCACTTTTATCCTGGCATATATATCTAGGCTTTGCCATTTGAAATATATAGAACCCTCTTGTGAATGGAACACACATATCGGCGTGCACCAATAAGGCAACAATGTTACATATGCAATCTGCATTTGTATACATGTACGCAGTGATTGATGAGTGTATCGACACAAAGTGGAATTACATACGATTGATTCATCGCTCTTTACTAACACACATAATGTCTTGATTAGGTCAATAATTTGGCTCAAATTAAACTACCAATTGGGCCAGATAAGTGTTTATTTCATCATTCTTAATGGTCAAAAACATACTTGTGTCCTTTTAATGGTGAAGTGTGCATCTGCACTACATATCGATCTATATACATCGAAAGAAAGTCAGCATCAATACTAGAAGGTACACAAATTAAATTCTTTTATGGCATCAAATGTTTGTGTTTTGATTTAGAAGTTGTTGAAAATGAGTGTGTAAAATAAAAAAAATCAAAATAGGCATGATTTACATGCATCTTACAAGCATGGTGTACCTTACTACATTTCAGCTCGTTGTGAATGCATTTGCATGCACAAGACCTGCTATATTAGGTTACCATGGTGCACTGTTTACATGCCTTAAAACCAACTCGTACAAAGTTCATTGGGTGGTCTTGAACAATCAGTACTCTTGCAATCTGAAGACATCAAAAGCATCCTTATATCCATTAGTTATATGTGAAGTGTGATGTAGGATATGTCGTTATTTTCATTAGATCTGACATTATAAAAAAATATAGGAGAACAAAGGGGGAGTAGTAATTGACATAATACAGCTGGGCTTTGTGAAGACAAAGAGAATAACCTGTTAGAACATGTCAAATATCAGAAGAAAAAATTGTTTTATGCTTCAGATAATTCAAGTGCCATTATCATTATACATATGCGGATTAGAAGACTAAAATTATAACCATACGTAGCTACACTCATGGCATCAAAATATAAACATGTGCATGGTCATGTACGTATAATCTGCAGGAACGACCATATGCATGTGTTTAACCTGTGTTTGATCTGGATTAAACATGCATGTACTGCCGCCCATGATTAACACTAATAATAGTACAATAGTTAATGCTCTCTAGAAAATAATAATATGAATTAACATCAGTGCATCACTAGATGCACATTTCTTCAGTCACAGACAAAAACATTGCATTGCTAGAAGCAATATATCCTGTACATATATATTTGGCATGTTTGCCTGCCAATTGGACGCTAAGTACTGAATAACTATTTGGTAACCAGATACCATATAGTAGTAATAATATATATATATATATATATATATATATATATAACTATTATACTGTAGCTGGCTACAGACTACTATATTCTGTAGCCGGCCGGACCGGAACTCGCGAGCCTGAGCGTCACCAGCGCAACATGGTCACCCAAACCCCATCCACCGCAGGTCACGCTCGTGGCTTTGGCTTGGTGGTCCCCTTCGGACTAATGCATGCATGCATTGATTGATTCCCCGTGACTTTTCCCCTTCCTTCCACCTGCCACAAGAAGACCTGCTTGACCATTTGGAAATCCCCAAATCCCCGTCGCCTGCTTCTTTCGCTGCTTCTCCCCCGACACCTCGACCGCGTCCGCCCCCACCCACCGAGCACATCAGCGCCGCCCGCTCCACCCCCAGATCGGCGCCGATGCGGGCTCGACGCCACTCCGCTCGGCGCGCCGCTGCCCCGGCCGGCCACCTCTCCCCGACGCAGCAGCGCCTCCTTTACCTTCCCGGTGAGGCGGTGGATCCCCACCTTCCCAGTGAGGCGGCGGCCCATCCACCTTCCTAGCGGCGGCGGCTGCCGGTCCTCCACCTCTCCGCGCAGATATGCGTCCCGACGGGCACGCGCGGCTTCGCATCCCCAACCAGTGGCGGATGCCGCTCCCGGCGATGGCATGGCTCGCCCTGCGCCTCCCGGGCCACACCTTCCACGGCAGCTCCTTCCCCGATGACGGCGGCGCGTCCCTTCTCTCTCCCAGCAGTGGCGACGGCGTCCACTCCTTCCCTGGCGTCCGACGGCGGCGCGGCGTGGCCCGGCCCCTTCCCCGACCGGTGGCGCGCGGCTTCCCCTCGTCGTCCGGCGGCCGTGCGACTCGCCCCATGCATATGGCCCTCACGGCGGCGCTCGTTCATCAGGAGGCAGCGGCCCGGCACCCGTCACATCTCCGGCGGTGACAGTATCTCGAGGTGAGCCCCGCACAAATCCGCATCCCACGATAAGCATGGAGTCAATTTGCTTTTGGTCTGTACTAGTGTCTCGCTGTACAATTTGATTCATAATTTTCAGGCCGGATTGACGACAATTGTTGCGAACCTCAATAGCGGGAGCAATTGCCATTCTTTTTTTTGCAATGATATAGTATCTGCTTGTGTTAGGAAAAAGATCCATACCATATCTTTTTATGGTAACTTCATCATGACATTGTGCTAAAATTATGGTAAATGCATTCCATTTGTCTAGTGTATTCTACACAACATTATCGTAAATATATCTTTGCATCCATACAAATCATTGCTGTTATAGTCATTTTTGCTCGTAGGAATGACATTTGTGCACTGTTCAAGGGTTAGTTTCATTCTGTTAATTGGAAGATGCAAGCTAGTTCGTTCATTCTAATTGTGTCTCATTACTAATGCAGAAAAAGGTACCTCAGGTTTGGTCAAAGCTGCTCTTCTGAATGCATTACAAACCACGACAAGAAGATCAAGAAGCTCTGTGGTCTGTGCTGAACCTGCGCCACACACAGCTCGAACTAACTTACCTGATGATCTGTGTTAAAACTATATAGAAGCTTACTCTTCTTTTCCTGTACTTTTGTTTGTGTTTAAATTTGATTGGGTGGACAAATGTATTAGTGTGTTATGTACTAAAAAATCTGTGCTTCATCTCCTTGTTGAAGATGGCTCTAATCTTTTCATTTTAAAAAAATGTGACTTGGTAAATGAATGTTGGCCAATGCTGAAATTTTTGGTCTTCCTCGGCTTCGGGAGAGGAGGGTTCGTGCGTAGCTTATATTGATGTTATAGTAAATTAAATTTGATCATAGTTCAAAAATTCTCGTAAATACTTGTAGTACAAAGTTCTCGTAAATATTCTTTGTGCAAGTTCTCGTAAATTTCATAGTACGAGATATTCATAAGATAAAATTCTCGTAAATATTTATACAGTATAAAATTCTCGTAAACATTTACCGTACAAAATTCTCGTAAATATTTACAGTATAAAACCCTCGTCCTAATTATTTGCGTGCTAGTTAATAACTAGAGTAACCAGAATATGTGCAAATTATCGTAACAAGATCCAGCCTATTCGCTTGGTCGTAAACGATCGTGGATTATAAGCCAGAACAATATTTTCTCTCACACCAAACCAAATAAAGATAATAATCCACGATCGTTTCAAATTAAATGAACAGTTGATCATTTGCGTATGCGCGCCTGGAACATTTGGGTGCTAATTATAGTAACTAGAATATATTTTGTACTATTATACATACTCTCGTAATCTTTGCATGCGCATGAATGTGTTCTCGTAATCCTTGTTAGCTTTTCATGCATACCGCAGGGACAACTAGAGTTGCCAAAATTAACGTCAGCAAATCAAGGAGATAAAGTAGTAACTCGACATCCTAATTACCATACTAGCACGTGCATGTACGCCTCCTGTTACCATACTAGGAAAATGAAGTTACGAGAACCATATGGTACCCCAGCGTGCAGCACGGAGGCTAGCACCGACGGTTAATTTTTTCCATTACCATAATTATTTAACCATGCAATTAATTCCGGCTAGCTCGCTCCATTTATGAGCTTGGCTGGCTCGCACGTGAAATCAGCATCACGCAATTACGGGAACCCACCAGCGCAGGATCTGAAACTGAGTGCGAGCCCGGTGCGGTCGGACGGCCTGGCTACAGACTAACCTATTTTAGCTACAGAGTATACTCTCTCTCTCTCTCTCTCTCTCTCTCTCTCTCTCTCTCTCTCTCTCTCTCTCTATATATATATATATATATATATATATATATATATATATAACTACTACCCTGGCTACAAAATAACTTATTCTATAGCCACTTTGAGTTACGATAATTACTATGTTAATTTACGAGATTATAGTAACTATTTACTAAGTGATTTATTATAACGTTATGGTAAATATCCCCATGTGTTATAGTAACCCTACTATCGTAAATATGTATTGACATTATCGTAAATTAGTATATAAAATTATCGTAAATGAAGGTGGCTACATAATAACTTATTTTTGTATATATATATATATATATATATATATATATATATATATATATATATAAGAGAGAGAGAAACATATATGTATATGCTCTCCTGTCCAAAAAAAAAAGATGCAATTCTAGAGTAGTGTTATTAAGTCAAATGATTTTAAAGTTTAACTAAATTTATATATATAAATAATATTTATTAGATAAATATGTATCATTAGATTTTCATGAAATATAAGCTTAGTCAAATTAATTTACGATAGTTTGACCCTGATGATCAGACCTAGAATTTTTATTTTGAGAAAGGGATATATAGTATATGTAAGAACATCCCTTGAATTAATGAAATGAATTATATGATAAAATGCTAATATAAGTAACCAATAAATGTATCTCTGCATGCATGGATCGACTCTCTGATCCATCCATCTATCATGTAGGAGTATTGTAGCACCTGATTTTAAGAACAAAACCAGATCGCACCATATGTGAGCCTAGGAAGTCAATTCTCACGTGAGCTACAAATAAGGGTAATATCAAAAGATAATGCTCAATATATAACATACTTAGTATAAAGGATATAACCTTAAACAACAAACAGCGGCAAGACAACTCCGATCTTCAGGTGAAGACTCCAACTCTACAGAGACAACTGACTGGTTGATCACAAGTCTAATTCTTCCAAACTCTAGCAATCTAGTACACATCCAGAGATTTTCTAAAGATTTAAAAGTAAAGCAAAAGCGTAAGTACGCGTGTCGTACTCAACAAATATAACATGGGGTTCATGAGTCTCAAAAGGCTAACACTAGTTTAACTGCGATTAGCTTTTAATGAGTCATCTTTTAGCAATTGGGTGGCAACAAGTTTGTTCACAAGCCCATATAAGCACATAATCAGGTAAACATGAATAATGAATAGCATAAACAGTAATCATTAGTGAGCATCTTTATCATCAGTATCATCAGTGTCCATCATCTATTTCATAAGGGTCCAAGGTCAGCTTGTGGACTGTGGAGCACGACCGATATATCGCTTTACACTCTCATGAGGTTGTACACTTTCACTGTGAGTCATGATTTACTCTTTCGCCCGAGGCGGTCAACCTCTTGACCCACTACCAAGGAAGGTCGGCATGGTTCACTATGAAGCATTTCAAAGGTTCGTCTAACAAGTTAGGGCCATTAGATTCACTCGGCAAATAGATGTAGAGCTCCCGTTCCCGATGGCACAATGACGCGCAGCCTATACCCATAGGGACAGAGGCCGCACTATACCCGATTCGTCAAGCCATTCTTACGCCATAAAGGTAACCTCTAACAAGCTGGAAAAGGGCCTCATACTGAGCTAAAGCCAGAACCATATAGTCCTCACAGTTGTACTGTAAATCTCGTATGTTCGCTTACAGATAAGTCCTTAGGGAGAGAAATTTAGAGCACCATAAAATAGCCCAATGCTCTAGCCCCCTTGTTCTATGTTGCTAAAAAGCATCTTTTAGTGTTTATTGCATATACCATTAGTAAAGTTACAAGATCATGGTCTTTAATTGAGCACTAGCATCATACTACCCAATGCATAAACACATAGGTATCAAGGAATCCAAGATATCAAATAGCTAGGAAAATTACTATGGTTGCCAAGATAGACACATGCATATGAATTAAATGATTAAAGGTGTATAGGGCAACAAGGAGGATCCCATGCTATACTTGCCTTAAACTCAGATCATTCTTCTATTGAATTGTAACCTCCAAAGGACTTCTTCTGTATCACCAACTTCTTTTATATCACCAACGCAAAGCTCACCGACTAGACATGATCATAAAGCACCACACAAGCATCCATGCAATCATACATGAAGCAAACAATAGAGCTAAATTAGAACAGTACACCAGACAATAAAAAGGTTTGAAAACTAATCTACGCATTGCTACGAGCACACAGACGCGAAAAACACGCTAATTGGAGCTACGATGAAAAAGAAACATCTACCGGGAGATTCACCTTTATATAAGAAGAAGAAAGCTATAGGCTTTATTTATTTTAACTATATAAAATCATATATATAAGATATTTTAGAGAAGTATCCAAATAGAATTAAGTCAAATTATATTTGATTTGAAAAACCAGGATAGATCTAATCTTATTTTACTTAGAAATGATCGAAGTAGAAAATCTAATTTGCTTTTAATTGGAAAACTAATTGCATATTGATTTATCAAATTAACATTTTATTTGAAAGCATAGAGCATGTTAAACAATACTACTATAACTTAAATTACGTCGTTATGAATCTAACGCAATTTAAACTGGTCAAAACGAAGAAGTTATGGCCTAAATAAGGCTAGTGGCAAAACTATAAATAGATGAAAACGTATTTTGAATCTAACTGAAGGAAAATACGCTTTCCAAAGAAAAAGACGTATTCCAGAAATATGCTATGGACTACGGGTTCTATACTAGAAAAGGGCAGGGGCTCTTTAGCAAAATTGCCTGCGAAGGGGTACGGGTTAATCTCAACCGTTGGATCAAGATTGAACGACTAGGAATAGATGAGAGAGAGAGAGAAAGAGCGGACCAGCGTGGCCGGCGACGAGCGGCGCACGGGGACCACGGCCTACGGGCCTCGATTCGAAGCGAGAAAAGCATCGAGAGGTAGAGAAGAAGGTGACAAACTCAACTAGTCATCTTACCGAGGCGCGGAGCGGATAGAGGCGGCGCGGTGAGGACGACGGCGCTAGGGTTGCGGCTCAGCGCGGTGACTCGACGAGATAGGAGCTTGCTCCGAGGCTCGGAATGGAGGCGGCACGGTGCGGGCAGTCGGTATTTAAGGACGGGGAAGGTGTGGGGCACATGGCAAGGCTAAGTCGTGGCGGCGACGGACTTCCTCAGCGGCGGTGAGAGTCTGTCGCGGGCACGTCGTGAGGAAGAAGACGGCAAGGACGCTGACAAGCGGGTCCCACAAGTCAACGACAGGAGAGGCGCGGGAGAGAGGGGCGGCTGCGGGGGCGCTGCGGGCTGGGCCGGCCCAAGTGAAACTTTGCCGCTGCGGGAGAGAGGGAAGCGGGGAAGGAAGGGAAAAGAAGTGGGCCGCCTGCTGCGAAAGGGGTGCTGGGCCGGCGGGGAAGCAAAGCTGAGCTGGGCCAAAAGGGAGAAGGAGAGGAAGAATTCCATTTTTTTAATTTTATTTTTAAATCCAAATTCAATTCAAATTTAAATTCTTTTGAAATTTTGATCAAACACAACCATCACAAATAAATATGCAGCAGCATGTATGTACAAACATGTAGCTAGACCTTATATTTGATTTTGATTTTAACAAAGTTTTTATTTTTCTAAATTTGTATGCTCAAAAAATACATAATTAAATTATTTTAGCCTATTTTAAAAAGATGCAATGCTGAAGCATGCAGCAGGTACGGAGTATATACATGTAGCTTGTCAACCAGATGGATGATGGAATGCTTGCGACCATGACACCACACGCAAGCCAGAAATGCTAGTACAACGACAAAACAACACATCATGCATGCATGCCCAGTTTTATATGTGTGTAGCATAGCATCTAGTACATACTGTCGCCGTCCCTAAGATTCAATTTAAATTCTTCTGGGTTAGTTCATTATTCCTTGTTTAGATATTGTTGGTTGAAATCTCCCAAAGATATTATATAATTAATCAGGAGGTGGTGGGAGAAAAGAACAGCAGTACAGCAAGAAATAAACCTGCCCTGATGAACTGATGAAGACGAAGGAGGAGGGCCAGTAAAATTGGCACAAACCCTAGCTAATAAGCTTATTGATTAGTTTACTTTGATGATACATTAAAACATGGATTAACATCAGAGACAGAGAGAGAACTGAGAACACAAGGATTACTACCCTGGATCACAAGAGCTAGCTAGCTAGAATGATTATATTATGATCAAATCAAAATTACCTCTGATATATCTCTAGTTCGTCATCTCATCATCTCCATCCACCAATCGATGCACCATCATTGTCTATCATGGATTCATGGATAGACTGATTCCTAGTTAATCCGATCCGCTACAAATTAAGCAAAGGAAGCTGCTTTCATTAATTTCCCCTCCTCGCTCGCTCGGCAGCTCGCTCAGTGCATTCCATGGCTGCTCTGGCCGCCGGCGCTGCTGAAGCCGAAGCCTAGGGCGGCATGGGCACCGCCCATCGACGACGAGGACGAAGACGACGTCGGCCCGTGGATGTCGACGGGCCTGACGAGCCCGGCCCAGTCAATAAGTGGCCCTGGACCCAGCGGCAGGAACGGGGGCCCGCCGCCGGGTCGCCCTGGCGCCGCCACGCCCACGACTGAGGTGCTGGGCCCGGCTCCGGCGGACGCCGGGTACTGCTGCTGCGTCGGCGGCGGCTGGTGCTGGAGCTCCTGCACCTGGCGCTTGAGGAACTTGATGTAGCGGATGGCCTCGTTGAGCATGGAGGCGGTGTCCATCTTGGTGCCGCCGGGGACGAGGCGCTGCAGGATGCGGATGCGCTCGCTGATCCGCTCGCGCCGGTGCCGCGCCGCCACGCTCTGCGGGTCCTCGCTGATGCGCACGTTGCGGCGCCGGGGCTTCTTGATGGTGGCCGGGTCGATGTCCACCGGCTGCATGGCAGCGATCCGGTACATCATCTCCTTCATGGCGCCGAGCTCCTCCTCCACGTCCTCGGCGGCGCTGCCGCCGCGGTCCTCCTGCCCGCCGCCGCCGCCGCCCGCCTCGTGCTGCTGCTGCTGCCTCAGCTCCTCCTGATGCTCGTGCCCGCCGCCGCCGGGCTCCTGGTGCTCGCCGTGGCCGCCGCCGTACTCGTGGTGCCGGTGGTGGCCGTGGGAATGGGAGGAGGGGTCGAGGTCAAGGCCGAGGTGGTGGAGCTGGTGGTGGTGGTGGTGCGGTGGGAACTGGGAGGAAGACGGCGAAGGATCCAAGCCGGGATGGTGGTGGTGGTGAGGATGCGGCGGAGGGTGGTGGTGTGCAGGATGGGAGGAGAGGTGGAAGGGTAATGGCGGCGGCGGCGGTGGCCCTGGGTTGGGGTGGCTGTCGAAGAGGAGCGGGTGGTGGTGGCTGCCGAGGCTCATGTCCAAATCCCATGAGCTGCTGCTGCTCGAGTTGTGCGTGATGTTGTCCATGCCGGCCGGCCGCCCACGGACACGGACAGCGCCGCCCCCGGCGACCCCTTCTTGCAGCTTGCCTTGGTACACCGACCACACACTGTACTTGACGAGCTAGCTCCCAAGTGCAGCTATGTATGTAAACCTAGCTAGCTAGCTAGCTAGCAAGAGAAGCTGCTGCTGCTGCTGTTGTCTCTCAGAGAGAGGGGGAGAGGAGAGGGAGCCCATGAGTGGTCACATAAGTGAGGGCTTTATAGGGGAATGGGGGAGGAGCTAGCAATAGCAACAGAGGAGGAGGTGGAAGAAGAAGAAGCTAAGGAAGGAAGAAGCTAAGGCAGCTTGATGACTGATGAGGTGATAAATAATGTCATGTGCAAGAAAGAGTTGTGTACTAGTAGTCCTCCTTCCTAGATATGCATGGTAGTGCAGCCAGCAGGTGTCATGTGTGTGAGGCTACAAGAACAAAGGTTAAGGGCGGCACAGGCAAAGAGCTGGAGAGATAGAACTTGCAAGCTTGTCATGGTGCAGCTGCAGATCAGGGGCCATATGCATTGCATGCTTAGAAGGTGGGGCAAAGTTTGCCTCAACATCTAGGTACCTATACATGATACTATATGCATGCCTTGACAGTTAGTCACTACTAGCTAGCTAATTGACAATCCCCATATATAATATAGAGTAGCTCTTGTCTGTTGTCCCTTTCTATCTCTGCATATAGAGTAGCTTGTGCTTGTCCGGCATATAGTTTTCGGTGTAATCTCTTTTAGCACTATCATGGACAGTTATAAGTTTCTGTAAACTCTATATACTACTCGGAATCAGGATTCAGATCTTTGTTTGGTTCCTCTCTCTCTCTCTCTTTTCTTTCCTTTTTCTTCTTTTTCCTGCCACTATCTTTGACCACTGTCAGCTAGCACCTAAGGCACTGTATAGGTAGCTAGTAGGCTCGGAATATATAACATAAATAACAAATAAAGCAATCTAATGGTTAGAAGCCAATAGTGTTTGTTCTTCTATGTATGTAGTGTTAGCCTCTGGATGTTCGGAACTGCTGTGCCGATCATTCACCGGCGTTACCGAGCATACACTGTGTGGCTAGAGGTAGAAAAAGGAGGAAGAACAGAGCACACACAAACAGTAAGCATCAAAGCATTGGCGGGAACTCTGCAGAGGAGATGGCAAAACTGAACTCGCTCATTTTACTGAGTTGCAGTGAGAAGCTATATATACAACTCTACCCATCCAATCCTAGTACACAGACATATCAGGCTACCATATCAAGCATACGTGACTAAATGTGACAAATGGGGCTGACTTTAACATCTCCCTCTTTGGCTACTGATCTGACAGAGAGAGCCTTTTGGCGTCGCCCTGCGCCAAGGCTGAGGAGGCAGCAGATTACTTTTACAATTCTTCCCCTAATCCTGCTGCTAACCCTAGAACCTCCACCATGCCGATCATCTTCTTCAACTCCGTGAACTGAAGACGGCCGAGCGGTTTGGTGAGGACATCCGCGAGTTACCGACCAGTTTCGACAAACTAGATGACGATTTGCCCTCCATCAACACAGTCTCTGAGAAAGTAGAACTTGACGTCGATGTGCTTGCTCCGATCATAGAGAACCAGATTCTTTTGCGAGGGCGATGGCGGGCTGGTTGTCCACCATTAATGCTGGTGGATGAGCTTCTACACCGGTCAGCTCGCCCAGCAGACGGCACAGCCAGACAGCTTGGCACGCCACTGTGGCCGCCGCCACGTACTCTGCCTCACATGTGGACACAGGCCACCACCTTCCGCATTTCAATGACAACCATGAGATTAGAGTCGACCCGAGGAAGACGAGCACGCCGTAGGTGCTGCTCGCCAGACGTCGATGTCCCCGCCATGTTCGCATCATCGAACACGAAGTGAGTCGCAGCCCACTTCCGCCGGTCTTGGGAAGACAATCCCATGATCCACCGTCCCTTGACGTAGCGTAGCGCGCCGCTTCATCGCAGCCTAGTGATCCTCTCGGGATCCTCCATGAAGCGGTGACGTAGCCCACGGCGAACGCAATGTCCGGCCTTGTGTGGACTAGGTAGCGTGAGACCGCCGACAATGCTCCGGTGAGAGTGTTGCATCTACCTTCCACAGTGATGTCATCGCCTTCGTTAGCTTCACCGCTCCTCCATCGGAGTCACGCATGGCTTGCACTCACCATGACGCTCGCTCAACAACTTCAAGGCATACGCCGCTCACCGAGGGGGTGAGCGCCTCCTTCCTTGCCTCACCTCGATGCCGAGGTAGTAGGAGAGCACGCCGAGATCGCTCATTCAAAATGAGCTGCCATCTCACGCTTGAAGCCGCCGATGTCCTCAGACGCGTTCGGTGATGATCAAGTCATCCACATACACGCCGACGACGAGCTCCTACTTCCCCGTCATCGCGTGTAGGGCGCGTGCTTTCGGTTGCTGCGCATCACGTGAACCTAAGCTCGCTTAAGCGTGGTGTCAAGCTTGGCGTTCCATGCTCATGGGCTCTGCGCAGAGTTCAGAGCGCCTTTGGCGCAGCCGAGCACCACATGCCCGCTCCCTTGACGGGCGAAAACACGAGGTTGCTCGACGAAGATCGCTCTCCGCCAGCTTCGCCGCTGAGGAAGGCTGATTTTTGTCTAGATCATGGACGCGCCAGCTTCTTCATCGGTACCAAAGTTAGCAGCAATGGATAGACTCCATGCACGCTTATCGGCGCAAAAAGACTTCCTCAAAGTCGATGCCCTCGAGCCGACAAAGCCTCGGGCAATAAGGCACGCCTTGTGCTTGACAATGGCGCCACGCTCATCCCGCTTGACCTTGTACACCCACTTTAGGGCCGATCGGACGGCATCATAGAGGTGGATCGATGAGCTCCCAAGTCTCATTTTCCTCGATCGCCTTCATCTCCTCCAAAGATCGCCCGTCACCAATTTGCATCGCGCTTCGCCAACGCGAACGTGGGTGGTTCTTCTACACTGACGAGAAGTAGCTCTGGGTCATTGAGCAGCCGACCCGCCAGGCCTGAGGGCCCTGTGTCACCGACGATGTCGCCCACCTCATGAACCGCACCTCCTCACCGCTGTGGAAAGCATCCACGAACTCTCGTGATGTCGCTTGGAGGTAAGGCGAACTCGATCGGCGTCCGATGGAGTCCCCTATTCCGCCAAAGTCAAGACAAAGACCTAGAGTGCTCGGCACCCCAGGCATTGCAGTGCTCGGGCACTACTCCCTCCTGGACTACTCGTCACCACTCCTAGAGTGGTTGGCACCACTCTAGGAGTGCTCGGCACTGAGCCTTAGAGTGGTCGGCACCACTACAAGGCCTCTTGGCTCCGCTTATGAGAGCGTTAAGCACCCGTCCCGGAGTGGTCGGCACCACTACAGACCGCTTTTTACCACTCTCGAGTGCTCGGCACCCCTCCCGGAGTGCTCGGCACCGCCTAGGAGTGCTTCAGCTCCATTGCTAGAGTGGTTGGCACCTCCTCTCTAGCATCTCCACCACCATGGATGACCAAGTGCTCGACAACGAATGTCTTGGTGATGCTGCCAGCTTCCCCCATGCCCGGACTGTCCTAATCCTAGGCCGCCTTCTCATCGAACACGACGTCGTGTGAGACAACCACCTTGCCTCCATGTGGGTTGTAGAGCCGGTATGCCTTGGTACCTTCCTCGTAGCCTAGGAGCACCATCGGTGTACTCCTGTCCTCCAGCTTGGTGAGGACCGGCTTCGTCTTCCTGATGTGGGCGATGCAGCTGAATGTCTGGAGGAAGGACACGCTCGGCTTGCGCCCATACCAAGCTTCGAACGGCGTCTTACCCTTCAGGGCCTTGGTGGGCGCACGGTTGAGGATGAACACCGTCGTGGTCACCGCCTTACCCCAGAACCTTGTCGGCATGCCCTTGGCCTTCATCATGGATCGAGCCATGTCGACCACCGTCTGGTTACGCCGCCCCACCACGCCATTCTGCTGTGGCGAGTACGGCGCGGTGTGGTGTCGCACCACACCCTGATCCACGCAGTACATAGCGAACTCCACCGAAGTGAATTCGTCACCGCGATCAGTCCTCAGCATGCGCAGCTTCTTGCCGCTCTCCGCCTCCACGCACGCCTTGAACTTCTTGACCGCTTCTGCCGCCTCAGTCTTGCTAGTCGAAATCAGAGCCACATGTACCGATCGCAGGTCATCCACCAAAGAAGATGAAGTACTTGCACTCACCGGCATCACCGGCGTGATCAGCCCGTAGAGGTCACCATGGACTAGCTTGAGGGTCTCTGTCATGTGGTACTTCGCCCTCGAACGGCATCCATCTTTGCTTCCTGACTAGGCAGCTGTCACATAACTCGCCTACGTGCTCGATGTGAGGCAACCCACCACCATCTTCTCCCGGCCGACCAAGAGAGTCAAAGCTGAGATGTCCATACCGGGCATGCCACAGCCATGGCTCCTCCGTGCGCCGTGTAAACGCCCAGCAGATGGGCTGCTCCACCTTCAGTCGAAAGGTACAACCGATTCCGGACCTCTTCACCTTGGCAAGAAGTCATGCTCCCCGATCCCCGATCCCGAGGACGCCGCCCTTGATCAAGACTTTGTCGCCAAGCTGGCCATCCACCGCCAATGCGATGATGCATGAACGTAGCTATGGGATGTAGTACACATTCGTCAACATGAGGTGCTCACCGCTCGGCACCTAAAGATGATGGTGCCGCGCCTCATATCACCACCCTTGATCCGTCACTGAACTTCACCGTGCTAGTCACATTGCCGTCCGAGCTTGGAGAAGGCTTCCTTGGACCTCGTCATGTGGTTGTTGGCGCCGGAGTCCGTGTACCACCGTTGCTCCTCCGTCTGCCGCCCACACGCCTAAGGTGGACTTGGGTGCAAGGGGTTCGTCGAGGTGGACAGCCTTTAGAGCCTTGTCGTGCCCTTCCACCGCCGTCACCTCTCCCTTCTCCTTGGCCTCAACGTCATGCAAAGGTATAGAACGTCGCCATCAGGAGAGTGG